GACCGACAGACCGACAGACCGACAGACCGACAGACCGACAGACCGACCGACCGACGGACGGACGGACGGACGGACGGACAGACCGACAGCCAGACAGCCAGACAGACAGACAGACCGACAGCCAGACCGACAGCCAGCCAGCCAGCCAGCCAGGAAGGAAGGAAGGACAAAGCGACCAGCTGAAGAGATAGGGAGATCAAGCCACAAAAACATCGAGAGATTGTTACAAAAGTGGATGAGGCTAGGTGTAAAAAGATGGTGCAACTGTGGACGGGTCAATGGATGGCGCTGGATAAAGGCGGAGAAAGAGGTAGAGAGATAGCGAGGTTGAAAGATGGTGGGCTGGCTCATAGAGTTCATTCACACCCTAAGGGAGTTGAAGCGTTGAAGATTCTTCTGGAATTTTTGGGTGCGCTTGTGCAGTAGGTACTGGTTGGTCGATGTATGGCTAGCTGGATGGGTGGATGGATGGATAGATAGAAGGGGAGAGAGTGTCACAGATAGTGAGATAGAGAGATTATCACATGTAGAAAGGTGATATGTGGATGTGGATAGATGGACTATGATGGATGTGTGTTTAGTGTAGACAGGATGGGCGGATTGGTGGCTGGAAAAAATGAGAGATAGCGCTGAGATTGAGAGCTAGAGAACATATGGAAACTACCCCTAGGGGCGTTTTTTTAAAGGCCTGATACGTATCCAGAAAAGGAGCGGTTGTTACAGCGAGATGGAGAAATGGAGAGCTAGAGAATGGAAACATGTACAGTATATGTATATATAGTTTCAGTTTTTTTCGGTAGTCGTTGGCTGGTCTTGGCTTTCGTTTACCTCTTCTCAAGTCTCCTAGTTTTCCAGAGTGGGAAGTGCACGCTCAGACATTCCAAGTTCTACCATACATGCTGCGTGTACACAGACATATTTCACACATCCGCCTGATCCAGAACTGTAGGGACTTGGCTGGCAGCAACTCTCTACATGACGACAGGGGTTTTGGCAAACTTGTAGCTTTCATGCTCAGCTACAGCATGTTCCTCGCACCACCTTTCACAAACGTAAAACACGACACTCTCATGACTGTTGACTCATGAATTTGTACCCCTGGCAAGATTGATTTTTGCACCCATTCTCTTCTACGTCGCTCGTCAATGCCCAACCCCAATCGACATAGTTATGGTATGTTGTAGTGTGAACATGTGTGAAGTGTTAGGTTCTACTACTGTCAGCTGTTGCGCTAGTGTTGTTCAGGTTTGCGAGAGCAGGCCCTTCCAGTGGCCTCACGGTCCTCGGCTGGACTGGTCTCGAGCGCCTCAGAAGCACAGCCTTCTCTTGTTGTGAATCTTGCGGAGTTTTTGCAAAACCAGTGAACATGCGCTTTAGTGCCTCGAAGCGCCCAATGCATAGAAACAGGGATGGCAGGGATTGGCCAAAATGTTGTGTTTCTGGCGCCCAGGTGCGCCATCCTTCTGGCGACGCAGCGATGTTCTTAGCACTGAATACTATACTGGATGACTCACACTGTGCTCATGCTATTTGTTGTTGAACATGTTGACTTGGGCAGGCGTGGTTTGTTGATTTGGGTTGATAGCAAACTTGCAGATGAGATCACATCAGCATGTTCATAGTAGGCAAGGTAGGGAAGTTCCAAAGATTGTTGGTTTGTTGCTGGCGAGAGAATGCCACATTCGCTGCTGTGATTTTAGCGGTAGTTTGGAAGGCCGCGTGGCTGCAGCTTTCACGCCATCTCATTGCGCTGCGGCAATTGCCTTGGATAAATATTTGACTTTCCACCAGTGCACTCCTGATAATGCGTTGCTGATGTTTCTTTGATTGCTTTCAGAGCAAGCAGCAACAGACATGTGGTATCATGTGGATTTTTTAAATATCAGTTCTGCTGTGTTCAATGAGACCTTGAGTGTTTCAAGGACTGGAAAGGGACACCGGCACACTGCAGAGCTTGGACCTGGGTCACCTTTGCAAGGGGACGGAGCCTGGACGCCCAGTTTAAGCTTTCACGAGTGCATCAGTTTTTCAGTAAATGTCGATGGTTGCAAAATACTTTGCAGAACACTGGGACAATCGACAATGAGAGCAGTTGCATTATTATTTTTGGACTTGCTGCTTGTAAGTGAAAAGGAATTCCTCCGATTTCCTCACCCTTTATACAAGAAACATGGCCCATAGCACATCGTAATAAAGACCCATCAAGTTTGTCATTTGCACCCAACCCAAACCCATAAACCTCCCCCAAAAAAACTCCCTGAAGCTGGTTGCGATTGTTTGATTCTGTTTGATTCCCCGAGTCTCTCATATTGCAGTCGTTTTGCATCCAGCTTAGAGATGTTTACTCTTCGGAAGTAAGAACATGTGTTGCATGAGCCCATGTTACGTATCGTGAGAAGCACACCAAGGTGCATGTGTTTTTGGAGCACGGAGGGATCCTTGCGTACTTGCGTTGGTCAGAAGCAGAGGACCACCATATGGCACTCACCTGGCCTGAGCAAACGTGATCGACGTTATTGCATATCGCCCTTATGTAATGTACTTATTAGTAGCATGATTCAGCTATTCGTATGCTGAGATACAGCTGGATAGGGCAGTTTACTGCTGCCAGGCAGAATCTGTTGTCTCCAATTCGCTGTCGAGATTGTGTCGGCTAAATGCGTTGGCCTGCATAGCAGGAAAACACATGAGTTGCTTGAGAAGTCAAGAATCAGTTCTTGCAAGACAAGTTTTGATGGCTTTAGTTTTGATCACACCAATACACCCGCACAAGGGCTGTGTGGAATTGACGCTTACCACAACATATGATGTTCGAATACATGCTTGAGAACAAGACCAGCTTAGCAGTCGAGTCTTGGAACCATCTAGGTTCAAAAATCGCTCACTGCATGGAATGCATGGTGTCAGATCGTTTCAGACACTCCAGATATCAAGACTGGCTTGTGTGGGGCATCATGCGGCAAAACCATCAAACAGCAGGAAAACAAAAAGTAGCCAGGTAGGACCAGTAGAGCGACCAGCAGCACCAACGACTGAAAAGGGATCCACCCGGACCCAGACCGACGACGGGTAAGAATCCTCAACTCAACCAACAAACGGCCCAACATTAACGCCATGAAACAATAGTGACATCAATAAGTAGGTGAAACATCACTCAAAGGAGTGGAGACTCCCAGACACGCCTGCACAAGCCATTTTTGTACAACCATTTTGACATGCCAATCAGAGTCAGAGTGGCAGGGACATTGGCAATGCAAATTTCATATGAGCCTTAACCTAGTCAACCTGAAATGAAAGGCACAGCAAGACCAGTTTTGCTTGGAGGCCGGTTAAGTACCCGCAATCCCACAAAGCCATCGTGCCGCTCCTTTTCTTCCATCTCACCAACGCAGACATTCTTGCAACCGAGGTTGTCTACGAACAAATACCACCATCGCAAGTCGCAATAGTTACAGCGTAGCCGTCACCGTCACGCGTAGGTGGGAACGCTCTGGATGCATTCGCTACTCATTTTCGCAATACCCTTCTCAGAATCCACACACCAAGACAGCCCACTCGAGAGCAAGAAAAGACGCGAATCGGCACGTGGAGGGCCAAAAGGCCACAAGCAAGTTTCGCTCCAATTCTGAATTGGCTTTACTAGGAACAAGGACGCTATTACTAGGAACAAAGGGCATCGCTACTAGGAACAAGGACGCTACTAATTGAGCAGATGCACTTAAAATATATGGTACGGTATCAGTGTGATGGAGTTGCTTCCCTTGATTCGTGCAGCATGCAATGACTTCTGCCTTTTGACATTTCACTTGTGGCTGTGTTCAAGGACAGCCGCGAGACGAGGCATTGTAGGGCACGCTTGCTCCTCAAAAGAGTGGCGTTTCAGTGCATTGACGAACCAGACAAGCATTGAAGACTCACTCTTCCTTCCTTCCTTCCTTCCTTCCTTCCTTCAATCCTTCCTTCCTGTGTTCTGAAACAGCTGTACGCCCCGTTCTCTCACAGCCTGCATCGAGAAAACAAATCGAACAGGCATCCGTCCCTTTTGTGGCTCAGGTTTGGCACTTGTCGTCGTGAATTGGAGGAACCAGAGCTTTGATAGCTATACGTTTGGAGTGTGTCGCCGAGTATTGCGCGTGTGGAACATTTGGGCCTTGCAAAAGTTGCTGTTGTTGTCAGCCGTACAGAATGATGCAGTGGTATGGCTTTGCGGGCTTTGTGTTTTTTCGTGATTCGACCGGCCAAGCTCAGGTACCTCCCTCGAAGAACTGGAGTTTGGCATTGCCAGATCCTGAGATCATGTTATATATATATATCGCTGCAGGTTTAGGGCAGGTTGAGGAAAGCAGATGCATTGCTTTGCGCACTTCTCATCATCTGACACTGTCGCATCCTGATCAGCAAGTCAGCCTCCCCTTCACTTTCACAAGTTATGGTGCAGGGTTTGGAATTAGTGAGAAAGAAACAGGAAATCAAAACAACGCGAAAGGAAGTCAAAGTAAATCAAAGGAGGCAGGTGGGATCAATAGGCAAAGTTGCGCTTTGCTAAGCGTGTTTGACTTAGGTCAATGTCAAGCATACAGCTGAAGCACAATTACCCCGGAAAGATCCGGAAAGCATATACTGTATACCCTCTGAAAATGCAACTCCTTTAGCCTTCACACTGCGCGATGCATATCTCTGAAGCATACGGTCTGGGCAGCTCAAAAAATTACATTAAAGCACAAAAAGTATGCATGGAGAGAATCCTATGTCAATCCATGCAGCCTCTTAAGCAGGTCATAACAAATCAGTCCAAGGGTCGAAGATTTTGTGGGCACTTGCAAGAATTATTTGGCTGTTTGGGGTACGGGCTTAACTTTAGACTAAGTTATTTAAAGACATCTACTCAAAGTCACAGGCAGAAGTTAACCGCCAAGTGATGGAAACCTCAGTTCTCTGAGAACATACTCTGATGTACAATTAAGTTTCCCTAAAAATCGAGGAACAAAATCATTAGTGCGAGCGCCGCTAGAGGTAGGTAGCTAGTAGCTAGAGGTAGCAAGTAGTTTCTAGGTAGCTACTAACTACTGGACGCAGGATACCCCACTTTCCTGTCGATCTGATGCAAGATGCCTATAAGGCATGCGTCTAGCCCCTAGCTAAAAGTTATCCTTTGATTAGAAGCAACCAATAATTTGCTGAGTCTTGGCTGCGTGTTTTCCCAATTTGTAGATGCTTATGCACTTCACTTACACGTACTCTTCAAGTCAAGTGTTCAATGTGTATGATTCTACATTGAAGTATTGTACACATACCGACAACAATTGTGTTGGAATTATGTGTATTGCCTGTCAAATTTGGGTGTTTGTTGCACGTGGAGCAATTGCTTTACCATCTGTATGTTGCAGATGTTGGATCTTGGAAGATCACAAAGGTCAGTTCCAGAATCCGAAGACAGTGCCAGAGTGGATGTGCAGGCCGGGCTTTAAAATGCTGTAACCTCATAAATCCTGAAGAAGAAAGGCAGTTTTGGTGTTGCATTTGTATAGATTGTGTTTGTGCAGTCAGAGACATCACAAATTGCGGAGAAGTTGGTGGCATCCATCTTCCTTTACTCTGAAAACTGCTTCACCAGTATTAGAAAAACACTTGCTTTGAGGTCAATCAGATCGTTGCACATGGCTTTCCTTGCTCCATTGACATACCCCTGCAGGCGGCTATAGATGTGCAAGCAAGAATAATGTGCTTGTTTCATGTTGAGAAATTCGTAGAAACACGTTCCACTCGTGTTCACGACCTAGCTTCAACATCCGAATGCTTCCCGCCACTTGACGCACTTGTTCCTTGAAGGCATACTCAGCAGCATGCCTGGCCCGTGTTGCTACTTCTGGCGTGTTGCTCGCCACAAGTCTGTCGATGCCACATGAAGAGTCCATCAAATCCATCATTGACTCACCGAGCCAATAGACTATTGATCCAGCAGATTCAGCAGATCAGTGACTAAATAGAGTATTGCGAACCATTTAGTGCACATTTGTGCGAACTGATCAAAAGGGTTTGCCAGCTTGCTGGATCAGCACATCCCGCAGAAAGTGATGGTGGGAAGGTTCTAGGAGGAACATGCTATTGAAGGAATTCTATCAAAGTCTTGGATTTGGAGCTGTAAGCACTGACATTGAAGAGTTGCACCTCAATGTGTGGCCTGTCCACAGGGGACCCCAGCTGGTTTGACCACGATCAAGCATGAACATCTAGAAACCAAATCGCTTGTAGGTTGGAGGCTATTCCTATTAGGTTGGAGGCCATCGCTCTTAGGGTGTGCCATCGCTAGGAGGTTGGAGGCCATCGCCATTAGTTTCTCTAGAAATCTAGGAGCCAAGTCAAACATGCGAGGCGTTCTTCAAGGAAGCTCCCCCCGCCCTCAGGCTGGGGAGCTTCCTTGACGCCTGAACTCTTCTGGGTCCCAGCCACTAGTAGCGCTGCTTACTAGTCACTACCTACTTCCACTCTTACTACTAACTAGCTACGGTTTGCTCTTGACCAGTGCCAGATGTGCCAGGTGATCTTGTTGCAGGAGAGCTGAGGAGATCCACTTGGGCCCTGTGGGCTGAAAGGTATTCGCCGTTGATCGGTGTTGGTCATAATCGTTGGAAATCGATCAAAAGCAGTCTTCAAAAGACGAAAATGTATCCACATGTCTCCCTGCTGCTGCAGCATTTGATAGTTTCTGAAGAGCCAAATGACTTTTCTCTAGCAACCGGGCTCAGGGACAAAGCTGTGTGATAGAACTATGTCGCACTATGCCCTAAGCCAAGGTAACGGGTCAAAAGATGACCATGACTGTTTCCACGTTTGCGCACGGTATGGAAAAGACTGAAGCACCCAACGTTGAACTAGATTGGTCAGTTACACATTCACAGCTTGATCTAGGAACGCATTGCTTGGTGCTATTCTCAACAAACACTTTGTGTGGAGGCGCTGTGCGAAGACATAATCCGAAAATCCATATCCATCGACAATGTCGTCCAGATCATGATGACAGCGAAGGCTCGGTGGGACTATTCACTGTGGTCTCGGCTGAAGCAATGGTGGGCTTGAGAACTGAACATCAATACTGATCCAATCTTGCTGGTACCCCCTAGATGTAGCGTGCCTTCACAAAATACCCTTGGGTTTTGATTCGGGTCTACGCTCAGTCCGACTCTGTCCTTTGACCTGTGGAGATGTTCTGCATTTGGCTTTGGGCTTCTGAAGGCACATCGCGCCGACGGCCTCAAGGACATTTGCATGGCCAGGGTCTCAGCCCCACAAAAATTGTAAAAAAAAACGCACACTGAATGGACACTGTTGGTTCTTAACCTGCTCCAATTGATTCCGTGCTGTTTGGTCATGGCTTTATTGCTACACTGCCAGGATTTTTTCATCACCAATGAAGAGAAAATCAAACCCACTGCAGCATTCAGAGAGCTTATCCAGGAGACAAGCAAAATGTGTGAGTCATGCTGATTGAAATTGAACTAGTAGCAAGAAGCTACTAGGTGGGGGCTATCGCTATTAGGTTGGAGGCCATTACTACTAGTAACAAGAAGCTACTGGGTTGGAGGCCATTGCTATTAGGTTGGAGGCCATTTCTACTAGTAACAAGAAGCTACTAGGTTGGAGCCATCGCTATTAGGTTGGAGGCCATTTCTACTAGTAACAAGAAGCT